CAAGTATCAGAACTATGACGAAGTTTGGGCCGTCGAAGGCAGGGCAGGGGGACCCTAGGCGGCGTGAGGATAATTCTCCGCAGATAATGGTGGTCGACACAGAAGGTGAGGATTCTTAATGTTAATCTTAATGTTAACGAGAGTGATGGACGGAGATAGTGGAAAATGAACACTGCTGTCTTATAGAGCATAAAAAAGAGAAGGAAGCAGTACACGTATATCTGCAGCGGCTTCGTATTTACTGGGAAATTATGAAAATACCCTCCACATGTCATTACTCAGAGACAAAGTCCACAACACCTTCACAGCCACAGTTCTTAATGTTGTGTTTTCTGTACGTTCGCACTGTGTTAAGAAAGGGGGGGCACAGAGGGGTTTGCCCCACTGTCCAGGGACTAAATAGGAGGTAGGATAGGTTACGTTTGGATTTTGGGTTATCCTGGATTTGGGACTTCGTCTCTGGAGGGTGCGTTGCTCTCAGTAAAAAATACCCTTGTTCTATTTGGCAGGCTGGAAACTGTCATATGTGTAAAATGTATAATCAGTCAATATATTTAAACTTTTCAATGTGGTTATGTAGAACCCAATTGATTTGTAGCTATTTGGATGAAGGCGCTAATGCTGATAATTGTTCAGAATAGGACTATAGGACTGCATGATCCTGTGGTCTCCTTGCTTCCCACCCTAGTAAAGGCAATTTGTAAAGGTATTTGCAGTACCAAGCTGTGTGAACATAGACACATGTATTCAGAGAACTGTTTGTCTGATTTTTAATTTTACCTTTTTTCTTTTTTTTTACCTAATAGTGTCTTATGCATAGTTTAGTCACAGACTACAAACTTTGTGGTGCATGTGAAATATATTGTGCCCACAGTTGGCTGCGCACTTTTCTGTTTTCACAGCTGAGTTCTCCCTTTCTTACAAATTGGCCGCACAAAGTTTTTGAAGTGTCTGTTTACTGTACATCGTGGATTGGTATGACCTTTGAAAATAATTTGCCTGTGCATGTAGCAGGGTTTCCAGTCTAGGGTTAGGCCTATTATCTAAGATTTTGTCTGTCCTTGAACTGTCCTTGTCTGAACATTTACCTAAACTTACTGTTTTGTGTATATATATTTTTTTCCCAAAGACCTAAGTAGCATATTCTATAATAAATAAACAGAATTTCTTAGAAAGTTCCCTGTAGTGTCTTGTTTGTACAGTTTTGAAAACTAAACTTGAACTTCCTGTATGAAAAATTAAGTTTCAATTCTGGTCTTTTCTGATAATTTGTATTGATTTTGTCTGTGGTTCAATCAGTGTCATCTACATTAAAGTTATGCCAGTAAATCATAAGCTGTGTGCCCTGAGTTTAAGACCATTTTTGTCTGTATAATGTCAGGCTTTAGTGTCAGGTTTTAGTGAAGTGTCAAGCACTTACTCTAGTTTTTATGGGCAGGATATATAAAAATGGCTTGTTTTACACCAACCAGGGATCTCTAGCCTAATATGCTGGTACTTAGATTTCTTTTTAGGATGTTGTAAATAATATGTTATACACCCATATGCTTACACACATGTGCACTTGCACACATGTGCACTTGCACACATGTGCCCACACCCATGCCCACGCACACGCACACGCACACGCACACGCACATGCCCACGCACATGCCCACGCACATGCCCACGCACATGCCCACGCACATGCCCACGCACATGCCCACGCACATGCCCACGCACATGCCCACGCACATGCCCACGCACATGCCCACGCACATGCCCACGCACATGCCCACGCACATGCCCACGCACATGCCCACGCACATGCCCACGCACATGCCCACGCACATGCCCACGCACATGCCCACGCACATGCCCACGCACATGCCCACGCACATGCCCACGCACATGCCCACGCACATGCCCACGCACATGCCCACGCACATGCCCACGCACATGCCCACGCACATGCCCACGCACATGCCCACGCACATGCCCACGCACATGCCCACGCACATGCCCACGCACATGCCCACGCACATGCCCACGCACATGCCCACGCACATGCCCACGCACATGCCCACGCACATGCCCACGCACATGCCCACGCACATGCCCACGCACATGCCCACGCACATGCCCACGCACATGCCCACGCACATGCCCACGCACATGCCCACGCACATGCCCACGCACATGCCCACGCACATGCCCACGCACATGCCCACGCACATGCCCACGCACATGCCCACGCACATGCCCACGCACATGCCCACGCACATGCCCACGCACATGCCCACGCACATGCCCACGCACATGCCCACGCACATGCCCACGCACATGCCCACGCACATGCCCACGCACATGCCCACGCACATGCCCACGCACATGCCCACGCACATGCCCACGCACATGCCCACGCACATGCCCACGCACATGCCCACGCACATGCCCACGCACATGCCCACGCACATGCCCACGCACATGCCCACGCACATGCCCACGCACATGCCCACGCACATGCCCACGCACATGCCCACGCACATGCCCACGCACATGCCCACGCACATGCCCACGCACATGCCCACGCACATGCCCACGCACATGCCCACGCACATGCCCACGCACATGCCCACGCACATGCCCACGCACATGCCCACGCACATGCCCACGCACATGCCCACGCACATGCCCACGCACATGCCCACGCACATGCCCACGCACATGCCCACGCACATGCCCACGCACATGCCCACGCACATGCCCACGCACATGCCCACGCACATGCCCACGCACATGCCCACGCACATGCCCACGCACATGCCCACGCACATGCCCAAGCACATGCCCACGCACATGCCCACGCACATGCACACGCATGCCCACGCACACGCACACGCACACGCACACGCACACGCACACGCACATGCACACGCACATGCACACGCACATGCACACGCACATGCACACGCACATGCACACGCACATGCACACGCACACGCACACGCACACACACACATGCACACGCACATGCACACGCACATGCCCACGCACATGCCCACGCACACACCCACGCACACGCATGCCCAAGCACACACCCACGCACATGCCCACACACACGCCCACACACATGCAGACAGAGAGAAAGACAGAGAGACAGAGACAGAGAAAGAGAGAACGAACTATATATATAGTAATTATGAAGGGTTACATAATGGAAGGTTAAGAAAATCATAAGCTTTGCTATGCACACAGCAGATCCTGCCATCACCAGCTTTTCAAGTGGACTGTTATTAACCTTAGATTTTGGCATAACAGAAAATGTGAAGTAGTCAGTCAATCTTAGGATGTCTATTGACAACTAGCCTGTAAAACTAACATACCATTACTGTATACTACAAAATAGACCATATTAGATTAACCCATTCACAAAGGGATTCCCCCATTCTGTGCTGAGCCACACATTGGGGATCGCATTCAGTCAGGTACTTGAGTGAAAAATTAAAATTGTAGAAAATATACATTTACTCTGCCCTCTGCATTCTTGGCTGCATTATTTTTTTTTTTTTTTTTAAGCAAATGAGGCTAAAAAAATGTTTTAAGCCTACCTTTCAAACCATGTACCCCACACCACTTTGGGCAGGTCTGACTGTGTATGGCATAGATACTTTCCACCCAGGATTTGGGCCCAGTTCACCACCAGGTGATTAGATGTCATCTTTTATGATTGACTTAATGGAACCAAGAGTCACTGGAATTGGTTTGTCTGTGACTAAAAAAAAATAATTGCTTCACACACATGATAAAACCAATTACAGCACAAGTACAGTATTTGCTTATACATGTGAACTGTGCTTAATTTTTTTTTTTTCTCTCTCTTTTATAGGCTGAATGCATGTCTAAATGCTGAATGTCTGAATAACATTCATGTATTTCCGATTATTATCATCACTGGTCCTTTTTTCTGATGATCTTCATCACCAACCTGTCTGTTATTAAGTAGTTATCACTACCAATTATCAATTATCAAATATTATTCATCCCAATCTATGAGTTACCAAACAAATATCATCACCAATTTGTTATAAGAATAAGATGTTGAGTGTTGCATAGCCTCAGCCTATAGATTGTATAAGTTTCCACCTCCCATTGTGTGCTAAGGATATTTGATGTCCTAAACTTTTGAAAGTTCATGCAGTCGGTTCATTAAAAATTATATGAGGTCCGACCCAATTATCATTCATATATATGGCACAAATAAACACATGCCTGTTTATTGTTCTGATAGGTATGCAGTTATCTATCTGATAGACATGTATATCTAGACTGATTGATATTTATTTATTTCTGAGTATATTCTTTAGGTCAGGCCTTACACAATTTTAAGAAACTAGCCGATGGTCAGTACTTGTATGCCTTAGAATCCTGAGTCATTGAGCTGTGTGTTTAATAGAAAGAGAAACCTGTTAGATTTCAATGAATTATCATTGCCAACTTGTCAGATGCATCTTAGCCTAGATAGAAAAAATAAAGAGAGCGTAGCTGCACAGATTTTGTTGTGTTGTCATGTCCCTGAAGAAAATTTATTAGTTTACTTTAAGATTAAATGTCTGTAGTTAATATCTTGTTTATTTCTTGATAGTTGATTCATGATAAATCCTCAGTTTGTTTGATTAATTTTTTTTTTCCCTTGACATTTGCTACAATTTTTGTTTGTTTGTTTGTAGATGTATCTCTTTACATTTGTTCTATTTCTAATTATTTAGTTAACATTCATAAAGCTTCATGACCCTGTAAAGTCAAGTTCGTGGGCTGTAGTTTCTCCCAGCCACTTCAGTTTTATATTTTTGGTTAAACTTATCACAAGGGTGTGTTTTTTTTTTTCTTATAATTAAATTAGGTGCATTCATGTAAGTCCACTTAATATTTGGCCAATGATATCAAGCCCATAGACAGGGTACAGTAACTGCCACCACCTCTGTGCCTTTGTGTTACAAATGTTCACTTCATTTGGATCAAGCTGAACCAAAAGGGGACGACTGTTTTTGACTTTTGGATCTTGTTATGATAGTCTTTCATTAGAGCTGTTTTGTGTAAAGTGTTTTTATTGTATAGATTATGACTTACTAATTATGAAATGGCTCCTCTCCCCAGTGTTGTTGCCATGGGGTGTTAGAATAATGTCTTGTAAACTGATGTATGTTTTTATAGTAATGTACACACACATGCATGCACACACACACACATACATACATATACACACACACACACACACACACACACACACACACACACACACACACACACACACACACACACACACACACACACACACACACACACACACACACACACACACGCATACACACACACCACACACACACACACTACACACTCACACACACACACACACACACACACACACACACACACACACACACACACACACACTCACACTCACTCTTTCTTTCTCTTTCCTTCTCTGTCTCCCTCCCCCCTCTCTCTTTTGCTCATGCTCTCACTCTTGCCCCAAACTCACTCACTCTTGTGCCCATACTCATCCTTTCTGATTCTCTATCCCCTTACCTTTCTCTCAAATACAGGCTCATTTGTCTCCCTCTCTTCAATCCCCCAGAAAAGGTGTCTGTGATGACCCTAAGGCAGGCAGAGAGGCTAGCCAAGCGAAGGGACTTAAAGCTGGTCCAGGTGATAGACTCTACCCTGAAGGGCAAAGTGGAGAAGCAAGTGTACAAACTGATGACGGGGAAGCAGTACTTCGAGGAGGAAGTCCGAGGCAAGAAAGACATCAAGACTGCGACTGGGGTGAAGGTCAGGGCATAGGATTTGTTTAAATTTGTAATTAAAAAAAGAGTGAATAAAAGAAAGTAAAGGCACTCAACTCCTATTTGATGTTAATTTCTTGATCAAAATGTTCTTTACTTGTATTCACATTTTTAAAATGAACTAATCTGTTACTTTGTAACTAGGATTGTTTTAGTTTATTTCTGTTAACAGGGGGAAAAGATGTTAACCATTTCCGGAAAGATTGCCGAGCATGACCTGAAGTCAAAACTCCATAATATTGAAAAATGGTTGAAAAAGGGTCATCAGACAAAGGTCACGTTGTCTTCACAAGGATGCACTCCTGATGATCTGGTAAGTTGCCTAACTATCTAGACTTTAAGTTCATTTGATGTGTGAGGCATTATTGTATATAATTATGAAATGATGCCATGCTCTTTTAGAATGTAGTTAAATATTTAAAATAACTATAAAATTACTATAAATACCTGGTGCCAAAGAGCCAATTAGCATCAGTTTTCATGTACAGTTATTTCTAAAAGTTTTATATTGGACAAAAACACTCACATGGTTTGGATATGACATTAAACAAGTGCAGTCATGCCTAATTATTTGTTTATGCTCATGTTTAATTTCAATATATTTGCTTGGTATTGTGGTGAAAATTATATTATTATAATGTTATTTTAGAATTTTATCATGTTTGGAGTTATTGTTTATATTTGATTATGAAGGAAATATAAGCAAACATGAGGAATATCTGCACTATTTGAAAGTTTAATAGATACTGAATGATTTGTGTTTTGTAATATGACTATTAGTTATCATTTTGTTATTTAATCACTTATCAATGTATTTATTTATTAGTGCCTCTATCCATTAGTTTATTGTGATTTTTCCAATTTATTTTTTAAAAGTAATTTCCACAATTTTTGAATCCTCAAACAGGACAGTCACAGACAAAGAAATTTAGATGTCTGTATACATTGCATATAAATATTGATCTTTGTGTTTGATTTTAAATTAGTATAAACAGTGAGTTTCTAGATGTGGATTATAGGAAAATCTAACATGGCTGTGATGATTATGTGAATTTTCAGACTCAAGTTCTTTCTTTATATAAGCATCACTTTCAGTATGCTGTTATTTTTATATATGATTTTTGTCTACCTGGTTGATTTATTTTTCATTTTTATTGCAATTCTTTAGGAGAATATTTACAATACCATTGAAGCAGACGTAGCGGGTTTTGGCGGCCGCATTCTGCAGCGACGGGTGAAGGCCGGAAACATAAAATTCTTTATTGCACCTGCCAAAGAAGCTAAGACAGAAAAAAGTGGCAATTTAAAAGCAAGAAACGAGCAATCTCCAAAGACAGAAGAGAGAAATCAAGATCTGAATCCGGACGATGAAGTATCTGATCTCGGAAGAAAAGCGGAGAGTTGAGGAAAGTTTAAAAAAAGTGGATGACACCAATAACAAAATGCAGATGAATTTTGAGCTTGTGGAAGTATTTCGTAAGAGGAAGATCTCTTCATGGGTTGGTGATATTCAACTGTTAACTTGCAAATGCTGAAAATCATTCTTCAGCATTTTAATTGTAAGTTAGAAAAGACATTTGGGAATGAAACTAAGTACTGTGAAACAGTGTTTATGTAAATAGGAAATATTTTTAGAAAAAATGTTGATTTGAATAAAGTTTTGTTAATATTCTATTGTCATGACTTTTATTTACAGAAATATTTAAAATGTAAATTGTGGAAAATTAATTGAAGATGGTCTGTACTTTAGTATTGCAAAACCTTGCTGCATTCTTGTAACTGGTTCAGATTTTGGTTAGTGCTTGTATGAAGGAGAAAAATATAGTGTTGATAATTAAAGAAAATAAAATTTTATAAGTGAACAAAGATACTACTGGCAAAGCAGAACCTGCAGTTTTCTGGGAAGTCTGAAGACACCTGGATGGTTGAATGGACAAAAAGTTTTTCAGAGAATGGATTTTTTTTCCTAAAAAAATATATATATATATGGAAAGTAAACCCTGACATTTTTCTTCTTTTTAGAAGAGAAGCTACCTAATTGCATTGTGTTTCTTATATTTTAAGGGAAATAAAACCAGATTGTGAATCTTCAAAGGTCTTAGATTTTGGAAGTAGCTGAAAATGGTTCTTGTATCATCCTTTGCAGCTTTTTTTTTGTTGCTTTTTGTTGCTGGGATGTATAGATTGCTATTAAGATAAATGACAGTCCAATTTCTATCTGAAGGTAATCTACAATGGTTATCAGAATAACTTTAGCTTTGTAGCATAGTAGTCATAAAAAAAATATATATATATATGCTACAGATATTGTAAGTATCCCATGTGAAAATCATTTTCATAAACAGATGCCTAACTAAAGAAAATGAGAACTAAAACTTTGTCAGTGTTCTATATTATTTTATTTATTGAAAAATTTCTGCTGTGCTGATGCTTGGAAGTTTTTTGGTTCATCAGGGAAACATTTGAACTAAAAGCATGTTATTTTTTCTTATTTGAAACTTTTAGTAATAACTGGGTATTATTACGTAATTCAGTTTGTTTATTGATGATATACAGTAGTTCATGCACATACAAAATTTTGTCTTCAGAAATTTACTATAAATTGAATATGAAGTTCTACATCAGTTATATTACTAAATTTTAAATGTCTGTATCAGGATACTGTATGGAGAAAAAAAAAAAGTAATACTTCTTTTCCAGATTAATTGAAGTATCATGCACGACCAATTATTAGGAAAAAATGAAAGTCACATCTTTACAAAGTGAAGTGTATTTATTTGTACATATCACCGCCAGGCCTCCAGAAAGGGCCATGGGGTTTGGAAGTTATATCAAGAGTATCTACGTATTTGCATGTCGAGAAATACTATATATATATGCTACAGATATTGTAAGTATCCCATGTGAAAATCATTTTCATAAACAGATGCCTAACTAAAGAAAATGAGAACTAAAACTTTGTCAGTGTTCTATTATTTTATTATTATTTTATTTATTGAAAAAAATTCTGCTGTGCTGATGCTTGGAAGTTTTTTGGTTCATCAGGCAAACATTTGAACTAAAAGCATGTTATTTTTTCTTATTTGAAACTTTAAGTAATAACTGGGTATTATTACGTAATTCAGTTTGTTTATTGATGATATACAGTAGTTCATGCACATACAAAATTTTGTCTTCAGAAATTTACTATAAATTGAATATGAAGTTCTACATCAGTTATATTACTAAATTTGGAATGTCTGTATCAGGATACTGTATGGAGAAAAAAAAAGTAATACTTCTTTTCCAGAGTAATTGAAGTATCATGCATGACCAATTATTAGGAAAAAATGAAAGTCACATCTTTACAAAGTGAAGTGTATTTATTTGTACATATCACCGCCAGGCCTCCAGAAAGGGCCATGGGGTTTGGAAGTTATATCAAGAGTATCTACGTATTTGCATGTCGAGAAAATAACTTGTGAAAATATCCAATATTGGACAATGAGATTTCAGGCATATAGTTTACACAGAAACGACATGACTCATTATCAGTTTACAAAAAAGTACAACAAAATTACATTACACTGAATATTCTGATGTCTCTTTAGACATAAGGGTGGAAAACTGGGATATTAATAGCTATTACAGATAACATTCATGAAATGCAAGATTTTATAACAATCAAATAATAATCAAATAATTCCTCAAATGAGGAACAAATATTTCTTACTTAAGGGAATTATGAATATGAGGAGGGGATATATATCTTAATATCCTTTGACAATGCAAATTTTCTGTAAGAAAAAGAAACAAACTTATCATTACATCACCGAGCTCTGAAAATATGTTTCATCTACATCTCAGACCTTCATCAGGGAAGTTTTGAAACTGCTGACCTCATCGATCTCTATCTCCAAAAATGTTGTTTAGCCAATTTACAAATAAATAAAGAGATAACAAGATAATAAGCCCACATCTACTACATGTGGGCACAGTCGCACACGCTAGCTAACATCATCAGTGGTTCCCTGGGCTAGGTTGGACTTGGACGACAATATGGCTGGCTGGCTTCATCAAAATGAGGGACAGACAACAGGAGGTGGAACAGTACATCCACCAATGATATTCTTTGAGCCACCAATCCCTGAGTCTTACATGAAGCTTCCATATGTTTAAATTTCCTATTTACAAAGTTAAAATTTCTTCATACTGAAGCTCTGAGTAAGTCTCACAATTGTTGACTGCATTACATACATCTACACATTATGCTTATTGGCTATCATATGGACATGAATATATCTATCTATATAATTATATACAAGGACATCCACATATAGGCATGATCTACATGTATTTATAATGTGTTACATCCATAAAAATCTTAATGAAGCTGTGCCCCAAAAGTACCCTAAGGCCTGAGAGCTGACATGTCATAAAGGCATTATATCTCCTCCCTCAAAGAAACTGTGTTCATTATTTCTGGTAAGGAAACACAATATCTCTTCATTCTATATATTAAAGGGATACTGTTTTCTTACAGGACTCATGAGCAAGTCATCAGTTGCCTAACAGTCTTTATAAGTCATACATCAAAGAGTAGAACAAACATACAAGATTTTAATGCCTACTCTCATGGCCATAGGAATCCATCTATCTTTGGCTTCTGAACTCTTAACTTTTATTATCACAAGATAAGCAAAGGATAATCAAACAGTTGTCCTGCACACCCCCATCAACTAACTGCTATGCATTCTAGGTAAGGGTATACATATAACAACCGGAAACTCCAATGGCTTGGTCTTGTAGTGAAGGAAGTCCCAAATGTCTTCCTGAAGAGGAGGTAGAATCTGTCCAGGACCTCCAGGACCTCTCAAGTTTGTCTCGTCACAGATGGCTGTGTCAACCTTCACACTGCAGAGACTTGGGCATCCTCCTCTTCATCTGAAAATGCCTAAGGATGAATATGCAGATACAAGTACTTAGAAAAAGAATGCAGTATATAGAACATCTTTATATTATACAAAATTTATTTGTTATATGATTTATGTCAATATTTTGTTTCTTTTTGGAGTCAACTAATGGCAAAAATATACTCTTTATAGGAAAAGTTGGACTAAGTTAATGATCAACATCAGGAGACATGTGTATATAAAAAAAAGTCACCAGTCAAAACGTACCATCAAGGTGTGTCTGCCGGTAGTATTGCACACCATCATGGGAAAGGGCTCGGCCCATTTGTTTCATCCTCATCTGAGTTTCTGCGTAGTCAGGGGGATGTCCCGGAGCTCCGCGTCGTCGTCCACTACCCATCCCTGCTGTAAGACAACGTATGTTACAAACAGAATTTGGTGTTTAGCCCAATCAGGAAACCATAAAATAATTGTACATATGGTATTTTATACTATAAAATATAAATAGTCAATTATAACAGTCTAGATTTACAGCTCTGGATGTTTTCTGAAATTCAGACTGAGAACTGTTTCACTTTAACAAGTTCTATTTATAATACTTCAAAATTACTTTTAAAGCAAGTATTTTGTAAATGTGCAATACAGGAGATGATTTCTATAAAATATCAAAGTTAAGTGAAATCAAGCAAATATACTTGAATATACAGTTAAAGAAAAAGAAAAAAGCAACTTATACAACAGATGAAGTAGCTCCATCATAGACAGAGTCTGCAAACAATTCTACAATTAAGGAGGAACAATATAGGTAGGAACAAGAAGACAAAATACCTCGTCCAAAATGCATCCTAGTTAAAATTCTGGGAGAGAAAAGCAGGGAAGAACAGGACAGAATCAGACAAAGAATACAAGGTCCCCACATTCTTCTATCCACCTCTAACCAACACATACAACTTCTACTTATGTCCAAACCACCAGTGTTATACGTACTGAAAGTGTACGACAGTCTCTCTCGACCAAGAAGGGGCCAGAGAAAGGTATGACTCACCTGCTGCAGGAATAGGTGGCAGCACAGCTACTGCATGCGGAAAGGGAGGACGCGACCGTGATTCTGTGGTGCACATGGCAGGAAGGCAAGAAGGCAAGTCAAGGCAAGCTATGGTGCCGCAATATTGATGTAGGCAAGGCAAGAGAATCACCACACACCACCAATACGTGATTTTGTTTTGTTTTTTCCAAAGGTAATAATAATAATAATAATATCTGGAACTTTAAACTGAGAGCACAGTAGCCATGTATATAAACAAAATGAATCTGGATGGTTATTATTATTATTACCTTTGAAAGTTGGTTCATACAAGTCTCATTTAACACATATTTTAAAGTTCTCAAAGATGCAGTACATTACAGTAACACAATCATTTTAACGTGTGCAAGCTGTCTAAATCAGGGCTAAATCAGTGGAGTAACATATATTAAGTCTATTTAGTATATTCATTTAATATATATTTTATCGATACAATTACACACAAGTGACTATGACTATTGTACTTTTATATGGAATACCAAGACCGACACAGTTTACCCAAGTGCTAAACAGTGCTGTGGGAACTATAATCTGCCCTGTTGAAGGTGAAATCAATTCTCACTTTACTATCAGTACCTCCATTTAACATTCATTCCCACACACAAGTGACTGCTGATGCATTGCCAAGCAGTACTTTGCTAACACAGACCCCAAAAACCTTCACAAACCTGGTTGATGTGAGTAGCGTCGGTGGTGGGC